AGAAGTGGATTTTGCACGATAGGTGACCTTTAAATGTTTTAAATGAGCTGTTTCAATAACAGGAGTTTTATTTGTCAGTGATTACAGAACATTAAAGGGCACCATTAAATGGTTATTTGGGTAGGGATGGACGGCGCCTGGGAACAATCCTCAATTGTTTTAAAGGAAAAGATACAGTGTGTGATTAGGTCTGTAGCATGTGGTATGATCAGAGCATGTGTGGGCAGGGGAAGCTTGATAGCGCTCAGATGGAAGCAGGAAGGAGGCACACTGGGCAGTCCACTCAAATCTCCTCAAATCTTCTTGTGGAACAATCTCAGATCCTGCCTGTGCCAGCCTGTCTGCTCACTCCAGAGTTTAACTGTGCCGAGACCATTCCTGTTAGTTCTCCCCCAATGTTCAGACAGAATGAGGAATGAAATGACTATTTGAGATGGACTGGACGTTTAGAAAATGACTGAAGCAAACATGGAGAGAGTTAATTTCTAATATTTTCTCTCTTTATTTCTGGATAGTTGTTTCTGCTGAAAAGCTCTTCATGAAAGTTTGGTTACATAAGTCTTACTTTTGACTCTTGTAGCGACCCTGCTGTGAGGTAATTACCTGCCACAAGCCAGCAGGAGATCCGAGCAAAAAGGCCACCATGAAGGTTATCTGTTGTGTGTTTCCAGAGGAACAGCACCTGGGGGGCCTGCAGGTTATTTAATCACTTAAAGGTCCCATGTCATGGCCATTTCTACTGATCATAATTCCATTGTTGAGGTCTACTAGAATAGATTTATATTGTGCAATTTTCCAAACTCACATTGGTTTCTCAAACAGCATCTCTGTAAACTACGTGTATTCACTGAATTTCACTCTCTGCCTTTAACGGCTCGTTGTAGCTCCAATAGCTCCAGCCCCCGCCCTCCCTGTGAGCACAGTGTGCTCTGATTGGTCGGGACGTTGTGAATCGCGCTGAGCTCCGTGGAGGTGTGATTTCCTTGTTTAGCGATACACAGCGAAACACAGCCAAACTCACCCTGAGCACACACAGTCACAGCCGAAGTAAAAACAATAAGTGTGGCTTGATATTGAGTAAGAAAAAGGTTGATAAACGCTGTGAGAATGGGTCTGCAGAGAGAATTTCGCCGCGATCCCAACTGTCTGTTATCAGCCTGCAGCCAGGGAGGAGAAATCAGCGGAGTGTGTGAGGAAGTCCGTGGATTGGTCAATTTGGACCAATCAGTGGGGGCTTAACGTAACGGCTCCACGGATTGGTCCATTTGGTTCCGGGGACGACATGACATCATGATGTATCCGGAAGAATCAAATGGACAGTGACGTATCTCCAACGAGGCGTTTTGGGGAGGTATTTTCTGTGTTAGAGTTTTACTCGCTACAGGGTGTACTTTGAGGGGTTTGACTCTGCAGACCGTTTACATGCATACAAAGCTACATAACACACAAGAGGACGGGGAATAACCGGAAAAGCATGATATGGGACCTTTAACACACGGAGCAGAGCCGCTGGAGAGATGTTGTGTTGGTCACATTCAGCCATCAAAATACTGTCCTCAAAACAATAGATACGATATAACAAGCAACACGGAAACATTGCCTAACCTGCATATTTCAAAAATGTTTATGTATGTGAAACAACCACATTGAATATCAACTGTTTTGATGATGTTCCTTCTGTAGGACTTTGGGATGGCTGAGGAGTTTGCAACAAAAGCGCTGGAGCTGAAACCCAAATCCTACGAGGCCTACTACGCCCGCGCCAGAGCTAAAAGAAGCAGCAGGTAATTGTTGAGCTCCTGCGGTTGTTCCTGCTGCTGAATGATGCAGTCTGGATCTGGTGACAATGTTTCCCTCCGTTCTCTCTCCGATCCACAGGCAGTTTGCGGCGGCCATGGCTGACCTTCACGAAGCAGCCAAGCTCTGCCCCAATAACCGGGAGATCCGCCGCCTGCTGGCCCGAGTGGAGGACGAGTGCAAACAGATGCGCACTCAGACTAAAGGGGGCCCCGCTGCAGCTTCAGGCCAGGCGTCGGGGGGCCACGAGTCGGACCAGGAGCAGGACGAGCGGCAGGAGGACCCCTCAGAGCACAGCCTCGCCAGGAGCGTGGAAGGACAAAGAAGCATCCTGGAAGAGGAGGAGGAAGAGGAGGAAGAGGAGGAAGAGGAGGAGGAGGCCTCGTTGCACGACAGGACAGCTGAAGCCTGCTGGTCCCAGAACAGTTATTCCTACAACAGGGTCCTCCCCCCCGAGCCTGTCAGCAACATTTTGGGGCACCAGAGTCAGAGCCCCAGCTCCCCCCCGGGCCCCGGCAGGCTCCCCCCCCACCGGTACCCCCGAGAGCACCGGGAGGCCCAGCAGGGTCTGGTGCTGCAGCCCACCAAGCAGGCCCAGATAGTGAAGACCAACCAGCACATGAGCTCCATGCAGGGAGCGGGAGCGGGAGGGGGTGTGGGGGGCCGGGTCCCAGGGGCCAAATCTCAGTACGGCCCCTCCAGTCCCTTACCGAGCAGACGCATGTCCAGCCTGCTGAAGCCGGGCCCGGGCATCGACATCAGCCCCCTGCCCCCCCCAGCTGAGGAGCCCGTGTACGGGAACAGAAAGTCGCTGGCGGCCGCCCACCCCTCCATGGGTCAGAGTTGTGAGATGGAGAGCGTCCACTCCTCCCAGGCGTCCTACTCGTCCTGCAGCAGCAGCTCCAGGGGTCCGGGGCAGGACCGCCTGTCCGCCCACTCTGCCTCCTCCCTGGAGGGGTTGGCCTGCTCTGGCCCCGCCCCCCAGGGAAACCACACAGATGTAGGAAAGGAAGGGATGTGTGGGGGAGGGGGGGGTAGCAGCATGCGAGTGTCCAGCTCCACCAGCAGCCTGGCGTCCAGCAGCAGTCTGTCGGACAGCGGCAAACTGGGGCCTGACGTCCGAACGAAGACCTCGGAGAAAAGCAAGCACAGCCAGCAGGCCAGCTCCGCATCCAAACCCAGACCCTTCATGGGCGTCATGGACAAGAAGGCCCGCTTCCTGCAGCTCCAGCAGCAGCAGCTTCAGCAGCAGCAGTTTCAGCTCCAGCAGCAGCACAGCTTGCAGGGTCACCCCAGCCTGCAGTCGGTGGGCCGCAGCTGGCTCAACCACTCCTCTGACGGTCTGGTTTGTCACAACATGTCGGCGATGGGCCTTCTGCCTGTCGACTGTGATCCGCCTTACGCCAAAACAGTGAGCACTTACCAGGAGCAGCACAAACCTCCGCCACCTCAGGGGGCTATGGCAATGAGCAGCTTACAGAACGGCATGCACGCCAAGGAATTCACGGAGAAATTCTGCCAAGCCGCCAACTGTTACAAAGAGTCCAAGCCAGCGCTGGCGATGACGCACACGTTCATGGACAGCAAGCCCAAGCAGCCGGGGCTCAACCGAGATAATCCTGCCATTCACGTAGCTTCAATGAAACCAAAGCGATCGTTTATAGAGTCGAACGTGTAGAGATGTTTGTTTTATCTCTCGTACAGCCCTGAACGCACACTAGCAAAAATCTAAAGTAAGGAGGTGTTGTTTTTTAACCAACCACCCAGCAGAATAGTCCCACTTCAAGCGTTGTAAGAAGTACAAGCTGTTTGTTTTCCTGTGTGAATACAGACTGCAGGCAGTGTACTAAATGCTCCAGATCCCCCCCCCCCCCCCCCCAAACCTGCCGCTTGTGGCTGTCAGCTTCTGTTACATGACAACATGTCTGCCGTCATTCAGCCAAGCTGGAGACATTGCACTGAAGGAAGTATTTGGACATGTGGTGGACAGTCCTCATCAACGCAACAGTGACAGTGAGCACTTTATACACACTTAGGCCACTCAACACTATTCAGTTACAGCTTAATGTTATTACAAAAGAGATTTGAGTGAGTTTAATGAGGTTTGATCTGTGTTCATTTCGTCCATGATGCTGAGGGAGACAAAAAATAAGGAAGTCCTAAGTGACGGCGCCAGAAAGTGGAAAAGGACGGACATTCCTGTGTTTTACAAAGGATGTTTTAGATCCTCTTGTGTATATTATATAAATATGTATTTTTCCTTATTTTCAGTGAAGATCTATGTTAAGTGTATTGACCAGTTCAGAATTGTGTATTTTGAGTTTTATGCACAATGTTGTTTAAATGGTGTTCTAAAAAAGCATTTGTTAAATGTGTTTGTACATTATATAAATCACCATTAACATGGAAATCCTTTCTGTATCTGCTTGTTGTTGCTGTCTAGTTTAATTTATTTACAGCGCCAATGGCTTGGTTAATTGTAAAAGCAATATATTTTATATAGTTATTTTTGCACAGCTAATAAGACATTTAATGATTCTCAATAATGTTGAGTTTAAGTGTATGCTACAATTGCAGTTTATATTACAGAGTAAAAAAAATCTATAAAAACAGAAGTGGTTTTGGGGCACAGTGCCATCAGCTCTATTTTAATATGTACGTTCAATGCAGTTGTTGCCATGTTTTCAGTATTGTGAGCTTTATTAGCTGTGATCACATACTGTTATAGAACATTACTGCCATAGCCACCATGGGAGAGAGAAATAAAGACTCACTGAGGAAAAAACCAACTGGTCTGCTGGCTGTTATTTTAAAACATGAGGCTGCCCTAAGTTAATAGAACATTTAATTATCATCGCAAGCCTATACACATTGTACACTTATTAAATCACTGCCCAAAAGTTTCAGGTACTAAAGCTAACTTTAGTGAAAAGTCTCATTTATTTTCAATAGCTTCCGTGTCATGTGACCCATTCATTCAAATCAATACAGAATTGTAATTACTCACACTGGGCACCTTGCTTATTACTGGATTTTAGTGTTTCATATAGCTCATGTCATGTGACCTTTTGACCATATATTAATGCAGCATTGAATTATTGAACATGTAGAACAAACCTCTTTTTAACGGATGTTAGTCTTTCATCTTAGGCACAACAAGAGATGATGCAACCGTCGAAATCGAAAATGATACGACTGCAGGAATGAGATCAAAGATTCAGATTATTTGTCAAATTTATAAAGATACCCAGAACAAAATCTTATTTGCAGTAATTACTTTTTCCAATTATAATAAGAGCACTTGTTATCAGATGAGCAGTGTAACGTTGGATTCTGACAAGTTCAAAGGAGCTGCTGTCAGGGGTGAGGAGCAGCAGGTTCTTCATGGAGCTGGTTTTAATCACACCCATGATTCTCTATGGACTCGCGCCCATAGGAATATCTGTCTGTGGAATAGATAAACATTACATTACATGCCACTTGTTATACGCTTTACCCAAAGCGACTTAAATACTGAGCCACATCCTCCCTATCCATATAAACATTGTGACTTTATATACACACTTGGATATGACTGGTGAGTCTGTCTTCGACTCAGTTTGAGACAATGAACAGGTGTTGTAGTATTGTCTTCTCACCTGCAGCTATGACTGGATCTTTATTCAGCTCTCTTGTGATTGGACACAGAAATGTATCGGGGGTGTTTTAACGACTCTTCTCCGACTTTCCTTAGGGAGACGGATGCCCACAGGTTCTGAGAAACCAACCAATTGTTCAGTAAGTATGACTCATAAATACAATAACATCTGACACATTGAACTTCTTATGATGTTTTTCAAACATAGTGAATAAGTGATTTGATTCTATCCATTTGTTCATCGTCAAATACTTCACATAAACCAGCTGAACTCTATTTTGTGTTTTTTCTGTGAGTCAGTGAGACGACAGACTCGACAGACAGACTTTGTCCTCTGATAAAACAAAGGCAGGAGTAAATCTGGATCTCCACACGATCAATCTGTGGCGCGATACAAAGAGCCAGACCCTCACTGTGAATGTCTGAGGACTTGGTATTGGTTGGTAGTTCAAAAGGGAACATTTTTTCAATATTATACTAGAGAATAAAAACTGAAAAACAGCACAAAAGTGAAAAATAAATCACTCTGCACAAATCCGCTCGTCTCTTCCCAATGACTGCACCGTGTGAATTGGTCATGAGCTGCAAATATCACCACCCAGCTACAACTGAGGAAGACCTTTGGAGCCACTCATGATAAGTGAGGAGACGGTGTAGGAATCGATTCAGAGAGCAGCTGCAGGGACATTTTCAGGCCTGCAATTTCAATCCTGGAAATGTGTCTCAAATATTATGTTTTCAAAAAGACAAATGACATTATATCAATAGAAATAATGTCATTAGAACATGGGAACAGTGATCCTGCTCTATTCCATCCTGTTTCTGGTATTTCACTCTTATTTCAGATACTTTGAAATACTTGACATTAAAATTCTATTTCTTTTTTATAATTTGGATTCTTCTTTTATCATTTTATCATTGATTCTTTTAATTCGGCCAAAGAAAAAACGGAATTTCCTCAATACAAAAAACAACACTTTCATACTAATGTTTATCAGACTCTTTCGAAAATCACCCAATTTGGATTTTAAAACAATTCCCCACAATACTCCTTTATTTAATAGCCACAAATGAGTCAGAATTGAATATACCAGGTCTAGTAAAAGACTGGAATCATATTATAAAATATACTCTAGACTCTAGAGTATATTTTATAATATGATTCCAGTCTAGAGAACATGCAGTATCTACCCCACGTTGTTGACCAGACTGACATTTCCCAGAGAGAGACACTACTGCTACAGACCTCCGATTCAATCGGCTGCGAATGCTAAATAAAACATCTGGTTCTCGCTCAGAGTTTATGACCTTGGCAATGCTGTCAGGAATATCAGAACAAAAAGGGATGCTTTTTGGAAGACGTGATATAACTGCAGTATAGGTTAGAGCTGCATCTGATGAATATGTTGACACACAAGAGTTGTGGATAGATTTGGTGCAGTTTTATTTTTGAAATCATTGTGTAGGTGAATTGAATTAAATGCTATCATGGTGAACACTCCAAAGCTTCAACCTCATAATAAATAGGGGTACATAATGAAGAGATCTTTACATCAGCTACTGTTCGTTGAGGACCAGCTTGTTCTCTTACTGCGGCTTTGAATTTGTACTCTTGCACTTATTCATATTGGAGAAATGCAAGATAAAGGGATGAAAGCATTCAAGCACACCTTACAAAAGACTGTGTCTTCCTCGCACTGTGAACTCTGTTCCTCGCCTGCATTCACAGTCTTCATCTTAAAGTCAAACACGCAGATGCTGCTGTCGCCATCATAAATACTTTGAATCCTACGAGGAAAGTGACGTTGCTCAATCAAAATGTCTGCTCTCGATGAAACACGTTGAACCTATTAAGTCTTCCGATTCATCAAATAAATTACTCTTGGATAGAAAAACGGCACTTAGCAGCTCAATGGGATTTAAGATTTCCATAAGCTCCAGCATTTTTCATGGGGGCACAAGCCATTAGTGCTATACGGTCCACTTTACATTTAGATTGATAATTTGATGAGACGCTACAAGGAAACTGCAGAATGAGGCTGTCTCCACAGAGATACAGCGAGCCATTTCCAACAGGAACTTTTTCCTTCCATGCCCTTACTCAAAGATTCATGAGTATTTCATTAAGTAAAGTGCGCTGGAATCTAATTTGGGTGTGTGTTCTATGTGGAAGTAAGTGTGTGTCTATGCACGCACACTCTCATTTACACAAACAGCAAGCACGGGAAATGATAGTTGTTGGTACACAACTCAAATAGGACAGGAAATGTGGCAATCTGTTGTTTCCTGTGTCCTTGTTCTGTGGTAATGATGAGCAATCCTCCATACTAAACACATGGAGAGAGATGCTCACTCCTTAAGACACGCTTTGCATTGCTGAGCAGCATGCAGGGGAAGTTGGCTTTACTGTCGTTTTTTACAATGTCTACTGCTGTCCAATTAAAGCAAACTAAACCGCCAACAAGGCGTTTTACTGTGATTAAAGATGGGACAGTGATGCAGCTGCTTACATGATTACAGTCTGCACAATGTACTGTAATCAGAGAGAGGTCATTATGGCATTCATGTCAGCTGTCTGCTACATTCAAAACAGAATGAAAGATGTGCTTAACTTAAACTACATACCCAGCGATACAACATTTCTGTGCTAAACTTTTTGTAAAGTATAATGAAATCCAGAGATCAAATCTAATAATTCAACAATAATTGAGGTTTATAAAAATGTTTTGTAATTGTATATCATTATTTTGGCTTGTACTTCTGCTGGTAGGAATAAGTTGCCAATTACAGTTGAATGAATGAAATGGGCTATAAGTCGTCACATGCACAGTTGTGGCACAAGTGTCTGTACAAAAATGGATTGGCAGAAGAGCGTTCATTTTCAAAGCCCCAACAGACTGGAATACTTGACCTGCTGCTATCAGATCTCTTGCATCATTGGGTATGTTTAAACATGCATTGTTATCTCACTTTCAACTCGTCTGCACTTGTTATTAATGAAACTGATATTGATGAAACTGATTTGCTCGACTGTCTCAAATTGTAATGATTGTGTGCATTGCTTGAATTTTACTTAACAGACTGTATGTGGTTTGTCTTGTGTGTCATGTTTTGCATGTTGTCTTCTTGTTTATGTATGTCTGTAAGTTGTTGCTATTGTCGGGACCCCCTTGAAAACGAGATGGTGCATCTCAAGGGGTTTATCCCAATGAATAAAAATGTCTATATGTCTCTTTGTAAATAGACTTTAAAGTGCTTTGTAAAAGTACAAAATGATGGTACCATCAGCACCAAAAAAGGAACTTATTTTGCCCAAGATCTCACATTTTACTAAATGTAATGCATTACAATGTGCTCAATAAAGAAAAACTACTCACCAAACTCATACAGGCTCTCAAGGAAAAGTTTAGAGTAATATATTTGTTTACTTTTTTGCTGGGCGTTAGATGAGATGATTAATATCACAATGTGTGTATGGTTCATCTCAAACCAAAGCCACGTCTGTCAAAATCACTTGTTATAAAGAGTGGAACGTGGGAACTAACTAACTTGGCTGTGTCTCTAGTTAAGAAAATGCACCTGCAAGCCCCTCTGAAGCTACTGTAACTAATCTACATCATATCTCATTAGTTTGATTTGTACAAAAACTGAAATAAAGGAAACGACCAAGCAAAGCTAGGCAAGCAGACAGACAACGTTGGTATGAATCAATCATTAAGTTAAATGATGCCTTCAAAACATAACTTCCTTGGTTAAATATTGATTCTGACAGTACTTTGTTAGTGGCTGTACTGTAGTGTAGCAGGGACAGATTGTGTTGTGTTCTGGCCGCACTGGCTTTCCACGCAGACCTTGGACGACCCTGAATGGACTAATCTTATTTTCAGAGGGATTATCATTGTTTGTGACGTAAAGGTCATCCCGTGGGGTTCTGTCCTCACAGCATGATTTGTGATTGTATGAGCAGATAGAAACACTGCGGCTTCACATCGCTAAATCAGATCGCTGCTTGAGAAAGAGTTGTGGGACCGAATAATAAATGTAGAGCATCGATAAAAAAAAGAGGCTTATATCATACTATCCAATTGAAGCTTGTCATGTTTTTGGATCAAACAGTAAATCCTCACAAAAAACACTGAGTCCCCGTGTCCCTGTGATTGTGTGTGTACTGTACTAATGTACGTGACTGTTTCATATTTGATCCTCACCACTTCCTAGCTCTGCTGCTGTTTCGCTCCGTCAATATTGTTAGTTTGAAAGATGCTGACATGCTATTGTAGTCCTTCCTCACACACAGTCAGGTCTGCACATCCTCCTCTGGCCAATCAGCAGCCTGGACTGGAGTGACCCCTCAACTTCCTTCCTGCAAAATGCACAACAGGAAGGGAGGAAGGGGCTCTGCTATTACAGCCTCCTGATACAAACAAACAATCTCCCTCACACTCAACAGAAAAGGACACACTCCCTCTGTGCTGATAAAGGATTCACACACACACACACACACACACACACACACACACACACACACACACACACACACACACACACACACACACACACACACACACACACACACACACACACACACACACACACACACACACACACACACACACACACACCTGACCTAGCAAACAAGCATGTGATCTATCAAAGGGGGGAAAATTGAAGCTAGGGCTGTGCTACTTTAGATTGTGCCAGTGTGCAGCTCATCAACCTTCACAGGACACCATGTGAGTGAGCGGCCATCGTTTATCATACCAGGCCGAGACAAACCGCCCTGTGGTGCGCCGGCCCGTTAATGACACCTCGCAGCATCTTCCTGGAGCCCATCAGCCATCATTAGCCGTGCGACTGGGAGGAGTTGCTCATTACCATGCTAAGTATCCACATGTAAGCCCTCCCATCCACTTCCTACTACCTTTGCTAGTCCAGACAATTCATAGTCAATGGGTATTATCCTCCGCATTATATTGTATTTTTGAAAAAAAATGCCTGCAATTGGGGGGAAAAAAGGCATTCCTTATTCAAATTGTATCATGTCCTGTGGCTGCAATGCATTCTGGTCTAGAGGTTTTAATTAAACTGGCATCGCTGCATGATTACTTTCTTTGTGTCAGATTGTTGACAGCACATCTAGAGGTTATGATTTGTTTTTGGATACCTTTTATACCTAGCATGCTGATGTTTATCAGACATCTTGTCCACCATCTTGGTTTTAGTGGGTTGGCGTCTTTGGTTGGCATGCTAACATTAGCACCTAAGACTAAGTACGGTGTTGTCAAATGTGATTTTCCTTTTTTTTTGGCAATAGTAAAACTATGCAAATAGTCCTCAAGCAGTCATACCGATTGGATTTACCCACTTAGTAGCATCTGCACGACAATGAGCAGAGAAACACCTCCTCTCTGCAGCCATGGCTAATATAGTGAGTGGAGTCTCTCAGTCTAGGAGGCTGAGTCATGGAATCACTGTGCCAAAGCATGACAACCTCACAGAGCCTCGCTGCAGACTGGGATCGCTCAGACTGCTGTTTAATGACTTCAACGGATGCACATACAGTATGAAGATTGCCTCACTCCCTTATCAATCCATTTACTGCTTCTTATCTGGGTCCGAGTCCTGGAAGAGGAACCTGAGGCGTTCCCAAGCCAGACCAGATATGTAATCTCTCCAGCATGTTCCTGGTCAACCCGGAGGTCTGTTCAGCATCCTGGTTATTTCCAGGAGAGGCTAGGAGGTTATATTGTCAACAAACTAAAGACGGATTTTGCTAATAAGTATTGTATTGTTCCTCTCTGTCACAGACCTCCACTGTTGTCCAAAATATACGTAACATCTTACTTCATAACCAGGTCAACTTCCTTTTGCCAAAAATACTCACCAACATGCCTGATGTGTGTCAATCCAAGGCTGGAAATAGTCTCAAACTAATCCAATCCTTGCGTTTGCGTACAATTCAATTCAAAATGTAAGTTTATGAAGCACTGAGAGGTCAGTTCATCCTGCCCACAAACACAGGTGTTTCTAATCAGTCTGATTGAACTCTGTAAACATCTGTGCCAACTCTGTCCAATAAGAAGACTGCTAACAGGGTTGGAGGTCCCGCCCTAACAGGTGCGTGAGCAGAGAGGTCTCATAAACAATGTGAAGTGGAAACACCTTTAGTTATAAGGGCCTGGCATAAAGGGGGAGGGGGTTGAAGTTAAAACGTTGAGGATAAAGTTGAACTTTCATGGTGAGTGACCCATTCTTATGGGCTTGAAAGTGTTGAGAGGTGGACACACATATTGCTGTTGGAATCCTTTCATGGGATTTGCTGGCATTAAGAAAAACGTTGAATAAGAATCTTTGTTCACCAAAGCACCTTTGTTCATATTATTTAGGTTCACCTATCAGAGTATACCATTTCAAATCCCTGGACGAAATCACAAGAAAAGCTTTTCATCACATGCATAAAAGACTCAAAAGACAAGATGTTTCCATGACACAAAGACGAGAAATGATCTAAAACACCTTTGCAAGACTCTCATAACTATATATGAACATAAAGATTGAAACACAGTAAAACAGCAGGGGTTTTAGTACTGTGAATACCTTTCTAAAAGAAAACAGAGTGATAGATCTATTTACCTTGGCACACTGTCTGCCTTCATTTATCAGCTGCAGAGAAAGCTCAAAGGGAATAACTTCATGTGAATAGAGAGAACTCACCGAGATTAAAAGAAAGGGGGATAAAGAGAGGCAGATCTTCATTGAGGTGGAATCTGCTTCATCACATCAACCTGACTGACTGATGGCAGATGCGGTGATGAAGCTTCGAGGCCTCCAGATGTCTAACTTTTCATTTAGTGTTTCCAATGTTTGCTTTCATGTTGGGTTGGGACTTTTTTTTAAGGAGGATTCACCTTCATAACATCAGCTCTCTGAGGCTTAGAGGTAGTTAGCCCTGCTGCCTCAATACACATCAATCATAATTCCTCCTCTAGACACTGCAGTCAGGCAGCAATACACATGCAATATGAGCTTCTCTGGCTGGATATCTTCCCAAATACTCTTCTGGGAGTCTTAAGCACTCACTCCTGGGCTTTGGACCAATGCTAACTGACTGTTGTTTGAAGAAAGGAGGAGTGATTGTGCATTTGTAGGCGCCACCTTAAACAATTCTCTGTCAAGTATTTACCAGTTCTGTCGACTCCATTTCCTATTCTCCACACGTTTATGGTTCTGTCCATGGAGCCGGTTGCAATCCACGTCATAATGGGAGACAGCAACAGCAGTCACGTACCTGCAGGAAGCACAGAGATGTGAACGATGTGTATGACACGTACGTTTGCAGAGAAGAAGATATCTGCTTTTAAATGTAGCTTACCCTTAAAAATGAAATTAAAAAAACCAGTCTTGGATCGTAAAGTATCTTAAATCCTTTCAAGCACTTCAAAGCGCTCTGCTGATGCCTACCTGCTGTGCCACTTCATTGACTGTCTGGATAGTAGCGCTGGAGAATAACATATTGCATCACTGCACAGAGGGCTTCTGGGAAAATATAATCAAGCAAAAATCACACATTTTGATGTCAACCCTTTGACTCCTGTTTGTCTCATAGCTGCAGAGATTGCTTAGCAGCGGGAGGTCAGGTCGTTTACATTTGGTGCGGTTTCAAAGTGTGGAGCAGGAGTCCCAGGTTCTGTACACAAAGTACAAACAAACAGATCAGGATGTTTGTCATTTCAGTGTTTGCAGCGGCTGGGATTTCATGTTTAGAAAGTAGTGGACTGAGGCAGCATAGCTAAACAAGAAGTCTACATTTTGTATTTGTGCTTCAATTACTGCATCATAATATTGTAGCACTTGTATCCACAGAAATGTAGAATAATAGAGTAATGTGTGTTGGTAGAACTCAAATGCAACCTTCTCATTAAAGAATAATGAAATACAAAATTGGATTCAAACAAAAACACAGATCAACCTTCAGTGTGTTTGAAGTGAAGCCAGAGAACAGCAGAGCATGCAAACACAACACCACTCCTCCTGTGGCCGGCTGAGAGAACAGCAGGATCAGTGCTCAGCAGTGGCATCTGCTGTTTACAGAACAGAAGAAGATTTTGAACAGAGAGATCAGTTCAAACTACATCTGTCCCAAATGTGCAAAAGTATAATACATCAAATGAAATTAGAAAAGATAAGTATGACAGGCACATAAGTCAATATTTAGTTGCCAAGGCAGGAGGCGTTTATCATCAGCACTGCCTACACACTGTTGTGTCTGTGTGTGAGTGATGAGTGATGAGTGTGTGTCCTACCCCGAGATCAGCAGCTCTCGATCATAAGAGACACACACAAGACACAACTGGAGCTGAATGACAGGTGTGTAGCAGCTTCACATCACAGGCTGAGGGAGAACACACACACACACACACGCAAGCACGCACACACACACACACACACACACGAATATGTATATATTAATATATATAAATACACAAACTTCAGTTTTCCTCGTGTTGTGCCACCTGTGAAATATTCTCAGCTTAAGATACAAAAACACTGAGTAGTATGCAGTAATACTTCATCATACAGTAATCCTACAGTACGTTGCATCAATTGGTCTTCAGCTGCATTAAAATGATCTGTGTGTAAATACATGCGTTTCGAAATGTCCTCTCCATCATTGTAAAAAGCTGTTTTCGGGCTCTGCAGGAGCCTCATTTACTATTTGCCTGCATTCTCATTATTTGAAGTGAAGCGCTCTCACATCTCAGTGAGGAAAAAACACATTATTAAAGCCGACGAAATGAAAGAGTCTACACTTTTGAAATTAAACTAAATGTGAGGTGTGATTGAAAGGGTATGCTGCTGAGTAAATTAGAAAAAAGGCTGCAAATCTGACAGCATGAAAAATGTGACCCTCGCTGCTGAAATGCTCTGGATATGGAGCATTAGAATATGGGGCTGCAAACACAGTCAGCCAGGATGAGGAACATGTTCCATACAGAGTGGTCACAGCTGCAGGAAGGGCACCTTGCTCCCCTGAATCATCTGCACTTCAGTCTTTGTGCCCTAAAACAATGCAATAGGGGTTCAAGCACGCAATCCTCTTTCATAGACAAAAGAGAAATGCACATTTCAGTTAGGCGGAGTCCTTGAAACCTCCCAACAGTAAAAAACATTATGTGAAAAATACATTTAAACAAAACGAAACGAGGACCGGCTCTGTGTGTTTATACAAGCTGCACAGAGATTAAAAAAGATCCCAGTGGACGCAGCGGGTCACCACGTGGGACACATCCAATCCTCCCCAGAAACGGACGTTACCACGACAACTCATCTTAAGCACTAACAACATGGAGTGTGTTCAAACGCTAACGAAAATCCAGTCTACAGGCAGGTTACACAACGCATGAACATACACGACATGTTCTTGTTCTGCTACGGCTCCTACAAGATATAAATGTCAAAGTGGATATACTGTGTGCACCTGACCTCTTCTCCAACTTCTACACACACACACACACACTTCTCCGCAGCTGCTGTATTTCAGCAGGATGTCTTAAAGTGATCCATTATTAATGACTGTCTGCAGCTGATTTATTCCACACACTAATACAAATCCTCTATTCTGCAGAGCGATTTCAAGGTTAAAGCAGTCAGCAGGTTCTCTCTATCTCTCTCTCTCTCATGGGAGATGGAGGGAGGCAGCTTTTAGTTGACGAAGCGGACAGAGGGGTCGTCCTACCTGCTCCTTCATTCTGGGAAACAACTCGGATGTTCAGCTGGCTGTCCTGTCCACAGGAGGCCAGTCGAAACTCCACACGGCATCCATCTGCAGAATGAAAAACAGCCACATTTCTCAATGTTCATGCTTGACGGATTTTAATATAAAAGGAAGACAAATCCTCCAATGGCCTGTTTGTGAAGGGTGTCAACACTAGCAAGCATCGTCTTGTATATGGGATATATATTGTGTTTGGATTAAAGGGCTTTTTATTCCCAAAACTGAAAAATAACAAACACTGTCTGACTGTCATTTGGATTTGTGGGTAGAAATGCTAAAGGTTGCTTTTAACTGTCTGCTAACTGTGAAAGGATTATGTAATTTTCTGTTCAGAATGAATTTATGTTATAAATAGGGCCGGGACTTTAACGCGTTAATTAAGATTAATTAATCACACAAAAATTAACGCGTTAAAAAAATTAACGCATTTTAATCGCACTTATTTTTGCACCGCGGAACGTTTCTCACTGGATGAGTTTCAGGCGTACCGATTATACTGGAGCACCAACTAACGTTCATGACTTCAGACAACAACAAACCACAGTGAACAACAGTGGGAAATGTTGTTTTAAAAAACGTACGGATGGAAGCGTCGATAAGAGCACGGTTGTGTGCAAATTATGCAAAAAGGAATTCGCATATCACCGCAGCACATCAAGCCTCAAGTATCACCTCAATGCAAAACATATAGCAGCTAGCGTGGAAGCTAGCGTGGACGTTAGCCTCTTTTATCGCGTTCACACCAAAAAGAGCCGGTACTAAAATTAGTTCATGAGAACCTTTTTACCCCCACGAGAGGGACTTTCGTACGGCTCTCTTGTGAGAAAAGAGCTATATTTCTGATTGGCTGGGTGGATTGCAAACCACGCCCCGTAAAACTCCCAAAAAGTTTTGTGAAGCCGCCATTTTATTATCCTCGCATTAGCACTATTAGCATTAGCCCAGCGCAAAAACGCAGAGAGACTAACTTATGGCAACACAAAATAAAACATGGGAGCGGTGGAGATGAGGAGGTGTCGGCGTTCTGGCGATTTACTCGGAAGGCTGCTGGGAGTCCCAGCAGCTTCTACTGAAGCCAGTCCCCAACTCCGGGGACTTTGGGCGGCAGTATACGCCGTGAAGTGGTTTGCGGCCTGCCAGTAAACCCAAAGCAGAAGAAGAAGAAGTGACGTCAGCGGCTTCATTTGCCTAATCCACCCCCAGGTTCAAAGAGTTCTCATGAACTAAATTCTCATGAACCTTTGTGGGAAAAGTACTGCGGTGTGAATGCGCCTAATGGTATACTAAAATCCATGTGAAAAAAATTGCTTCTCACTGTTCTCAGGTCAAATATTTATATGTGATTAAAAATGCGATTAATTTCGATTAATTAATTACAAAGCCTCTAATTAATTAGATTAATTTTTTTTATCGAGTCCCGGCCCTAGTTATAAACAATGAACTAGGGGAAGACTGACAAATAAAACACTTTCTTTACAAACTGAAGGATAAGGGCATGCAAAAACCCAAAAGACTGAAGTACTTGTGTAGCTTTCTCTTTACTTAAGAAATACTGAAAATGTTCACCGTGAATATCTATAGTGTTCTGTTTCAAGATACTTCATTTAATTTTCAATCTTTAAATTAGACTGTTTCTTATGATAAATCAATTCCATCTAGTTAATGAAAAGTCAGAAAAAAGACAACAAATGATGTTTGCCAGTTTACATGATAATGTCTTCAAATGATTTGATTAGTTTGTCCACAACACAAAGATTTTTCAGTTAACAATGATTAACAGGAACAGGATCGCCGGAGCTGTATTAGATTAACATTAACATGCTTATTGTAGTTGTAAGTGCACTGTCCTTGATGGAGCATATGTGTGGGCAGGAAAGGAGTGAGCAGAGGAGAGTTGTCGATTCTTGTTCTGTTTTCTGTGACTATCTTCCTCACCCTCTGACTTTCAGTTGCGCGCGCTACTAAAGAGACGCGCTACCATGGAAACCAAACAATGGTGTAGCTGTATTAAAGTCCGAGTAAATCTGATTTTGTCAGAAATCGGGAGAAATGTGGGAGAAATATGACCCCGGGAGGAAACCGGGAGTCTCGCGCGAAAATCGGGAGGGTTGGCAAGTATGGTGAAGGCTGAATGTAGTCTAACCCAAACAAGTCTGAATTAAGTTGATGTTTGAGGGCTAGGCCTAATAAACCTTATTTATAAACCACCTTTCATGCAAGATGCAGCCCAAAGTGCTTTTCTGAGTAAGACAAGATACAAAATAAAGAGTGAGGAGGAGCATAATTAAAAACAGTCTGTAAACAAACATAAATAGTTTTTATCACAGAACCATAAAACAAATTAACATGAATACTGATAGCCTACCGCTAAAATGGCCTATAGGTCTTTAATTTACTTTTAAAAGTTCCAATGGAGTTTGTTGTTCTAAGATCCAATGGGACTACTAAGGACTTGCTCTAAAGTTACCTCCAGTACAGTGTTCAAGAATGTTAATTGAAATAGGCCTACTTAA